CCGGTAAGTAACTTGTTGTAGTCCCTATCAGCCGTTTTTGTAGGCATTAAACTGCCAGAATTTTAAAAGATGTTATCTCCGTTTGCATTGAACTTTCAGCTTTGTAGCTTTGCAGATATTGTTTATGCTCAAACAACAACATTACACACTAACTAACTTTAAAAAAGTGAAATCGCAATCAACCACCCCTTTAAGTACCATAATGCACCTCCATTGCCTTGTTTGACACTTGCATGCAACCCAGCATGCATTTGTCTCTGGCCATGTGCTTGTCTGCACTTGCCAACAGGTTGCAATTAAAAGCCTTGTCACAGGTCTGCAGGCTCCTCAATCATGCTGCTGGTTCTGGCTGCCTTGCTCTCTGGCGTCTGGCTCCGGCGCATCCATCTGAACAGAAGGTGTGTGACAGCATCTCGAGCTGAAATCTGCTAGGCCATGGAGTTTGTTGTGTGTTAAAGCCTCTTGGAAATGAAACCGCAAGCCATAAGGAGTGGAAGTGATTTGTTGGTGTGATGAAGTGTGTTTGAGAGACAGGCTATTTCAAATATTGGCCCGCTGTAAACTAATCAGCATTACACAACAGTTGACGCCGTTCCTTGCATTTGATTGGCTCTAAGAGAGTGTAACGTCTTTCTGAAGAGGAATGATCTAAATTGTCGCACAGGGTTTATGCTTTGACGTAATTTTCTCTCAGATGTTGACAAAGCAACGGGACAAAAGAGAAGCATTTCTACTGAATCACACCACCATTTAATTTCAGGCGCATTCATTCGTTCCTTCCGCACACGAATATATAAGTAGCTTTTGATTATTAGAACCATTCCCTATTCAAACAAGTCAACATTTTCATTATTCAGACGCCTGACTCGTGCATTATTTAAAATGAAAAATCTGTATAAACAAGCAGCTGAAAAAATCATTTTGTCAGCTGAGAACTTTCGCCCATCCTTTGCTTTCAAGATGCTTGGTTTCAAACGTAAGTTCATAAGAGGTAAGTAACGTTTCCCCAAGCGCACTAGCGCTAAACGTCCTCATGGGGTTCACACTGAGGCATTCCACTAAACCCTCGACAGAACTTGCTGTACGTGTAGAATTTGCCATCTCACTATTTCTGTAGAAAAGCCTCATTATTTCATGAGCATATTGTAGGCATAATCCTACCTATATCATGAAACAAGTAAGTTGAAGGAAGGATTTTGTCTCAAAAGATTTGCCATGTGAGTAGTAGGGATGGGAATTGTAAGTTGTTGAATGATTCTAGCTACTGATCTGATTCCTTGAAGCCAAAAATGAACATTCTGTCATCATATACTCGCCCTCAAGTTCTTCCAAACCTGTATGAGTTTCTATGAACCAAAAACTAGTTGGTAAGTATTTGAAGAACCACTGTACATGACTCAGTGATTCGTTGGATCGATTCAGACTGATAACTTATTGACAGAATTGGATCTTGACAGAATTGACTGAATCATTAAAAAGAACCGGCTTGTTTGTGATTCGTACTAAACCTGCCTACAGTGTGTTCAACTTTATTGTTGCATATTATGTCGTGATATTTTGTTGTGGCGCTATAGATTTACTGTACGTGAAAAGCATTAAGGATTAAGAATTTACAATATAGCAGTACCGTAATGGTTATCCATTGATATTAGAGGTGTTTTATTATTACTTAGTGTGGAGTAGTTAGTTATGTATTCCCCTATTTTTACATGTAGATTACCTAGACCTTTAGATTACATTTAATAATTTAGTAACACTGTTAAATGAATATTTAACAAATCTTAAAAATGAATATCCATTTTTCACACTGTACTGTACCTTATTATGTTGTGATGCTCACTTGCGGCATTTAAAACAATTGATTTTCATTTTTTTTTATTTTGACAAAATAGTATACAATTATAACAATTTAATAATAATTTACTGCTTTTTTCAGTATTAAGCACACCTGTTTTCAACGCAGCAAATCACCATATTAGAATGATTTCTGAAGATCATGTGACACTGAAGACTGGAGTAGGCTAATTGCTGTTTAAAATTTAGCTTTGCCATTGCAGGAATAAATTACATTTTAAAATATATTAAAATAGAAAAAAGTTATATAAATTGTAAAAATATTTCACAGTATTACACTTTTTACTGTGTTTTTGATCAAATAAATGCAGCATTGGTGAGCAAAGAGACTTTTAAACGTATCTAATTCACACTTAATTTATTTTGATAAGACTATTCAAATTTTAACATCTGTCATTTATCAATTACTGGCCACTTCATGAAAACAATCACTCGCTTTAAATATCAGTGGCATAACAAAAGAATATTTTAGTACAGTATCACATCAGAAGATGAACAGTTAACAGAACAATTAACAGAACGTCACGAAAAACAATAGTTGCTGTTTTTCTATTATGAAAAGTAGAGAACAACAAAATCCATCTCCAAATCACTACACAACAGGTCTTCTTCATGGACACAATGCATTTTTGTATATTTTAAAGCATAAATAAATGTTTTCATGCAAAATCTACTGAAACACTTCTGTGACCATGCAGGCCCTTCCACATTCAGATTCAGAAATGACCCAGGCGTCTTCTTTTCGGTTTATAGTTTATAGCTCGATCCATTTGGTCCTTGAACAAGGACACACACTGTAAACAACTCTTGTCACTCCAATGTCACCCCAGTCGTTTCCACTTTTTTTAGGTATATATTCCCAATGCCTGCTGTTTAACGTAGCCGTAGGATAGACTGAATGAATAAATGGCCTTGATTGTCTGTTGATGGGGGACAGCGGTGGGCAGCAGAAGAGTTTTCCGTAGGGGGTAGGACGTTTTTCTGGTAAACACACACAGTTTTTTTCCATGATGCCTAGTGCAGAGATCTACCGCTGATAAATAGACTTTTTTCAATGCAGGAACTCCTCTAACAGTTTGTCAGGCTGCCGCAGCAGAGGATAATGGGTCACAGCATGCTATGCCTGAAGGCGTCTATACAGTAGATGGGCAGTCAACCGCAGCAGAGCTGATTTTAGCCAACCCCATCCCTATTCTCTCTCTTTCTCTCTCTTTTTTTTCCATCCTCTGGCCCAGCCAGGCACCGGCAGCATCGATCATGGTCCAGGAAATCCAATATTCTGCACCAGTCTCATTCCCACTATGTGCCTGTACGACGTCATTTGTATTCTTTCCCAGTATAAATAGGAAATCTTTATAATAATGATGGTCTAAAGGGTGGGAAGCGTCATTCCAGTTAACCTTTGATCTGAGATCTGGGAGAGAGGGAAAATACATCTGCATTCGTGTGAAGTGGCACCCTCGGTTCACCCCAGCCTGCTGTAGTTTCCTGCCAGTGATGTTGGGTTGTTATGAGATGAGAGATGTTGGGGGTTTCGCAATTATTCTCTTACATCTCAATTCTACTGTATCAGGCAGGCAGATAGAAAAAACATCAAAGCTTGAATCACAAACAGTATTTACACTGTAAAAGTGAACTTTGAAAATGAATGTTTGCATGGCTTTTGAGTTTAAATGTCTTGACTAAACTTAATATGTGAAGTTGATATTACTTATTATTATTGTCTGCCTTTATTGACATTTGTAAAAAATAAGAGTCTATGCAAAGTGTTCCCTTTCTTTGTGTGTTTTTATATGGTTTGTTTTCATGGGGATTGAAGTGTTCAAGTCTACTAACAATATCACACGAATACTCATGAGGAAAAAACACCTTAAAATGCCTTTCAACCTAAAAACATTTGAAAGATAATTTTAATATGGGAACGAATTTATGACGTCACAAGACCAGTTACTAAATGTTAACATCATGAACAACAATGTAAATAAAACTAGCAACCATATCAATTATTTATGTCCCAGTGCATGCTGGGAAGAGAGTAGATGAGACTAAAACTAAAATTAAAAAAATATCAAATAAAAAATCTAATGTTACTCAACTCGTCTGTGCTTGTTTGTTCAACTTAAAATATAACAGTTCATTATAATTGAAAAGAAATTAGGAAATTAATATTTTTATTGAGCAAGGATATATTAAATTTTTTTTAGCAGGATTTACTTTAGTTGCTTTGTACAGTGTGCATATACTGTACATGCTAGTGTGAGAAATATGATTGTGAGAGTGACTCCAACTGTTATTTTTCTTGTTTGCAGTTCAGCCGATGAGCAGTATCGCTGGAATACCCAAGGTAAATGGCATATCTTTTTTTTTTATGATTTTTGAAATTTTGTTGTCAGGCTTTTTTGTGGAAAATTCATAACTAGGCTGAATTAGTTGTGCTGCAGCATACAGGTTCATTGCATCATCTTGATCATTGCATCATGAATTTCAGTATGTGAAAACTGTTGTAAAATGTGTTGTATGCACATTATAGGTCTGGATAGAAGAAAGAAATAAGTTTTAAATGCTGTATATTGATAGCTTTCAGTCACGTGACCGGCTCGAAGACCTGGAGGGCAAAATATCCATAGAACTGCAGCACAAGCCTATCAATTTTCCATCTGTTTCACAGCCGAAAATATTTAGATCACCTCTCAAAAGAATAAAACAAAGGTATGTGAACAAAATGCAAGTTTTGGCCATTTGCAGTCCATATTAAGCACCTGCGGCAATATTTCAATCATTAAACAGTGCGACAAACGTTGTAAAAACACTTAAAGTGCCTTCATATATTTAAAACAGTAATATTAAAAGATCAGATTCAGTAATCACTATATTAATGATGCATAGTTTGCATAGGCAAGCAGATGAGGTCGGAATATGAACGCAATCCGCTTAATGGTTCAGTGTTTTCCTTATAATGGTTTTCTATGGGAAACCATTTAACATGAAACTTTGCATATTGTGTTTATATTCTGGGTTCATATGCTTGCCTTTACAAAATATACATCATCAATAAGGTGTTTACTGAATTTCACCTTTTAATATCTGCATTTTACTACATTACTACTTAATGTTAATAACTGGCGGTCAGTGGAGCAAAGCTTCGTTTTGCCCTCCAGGTGGGCGTTCCTATAAGGGTGTGATGTCACGTGAAAACTATCAATAGATTACAATATACAGGTTTTAAAGTAACCTTCTATAGTATTCGTTAAATTCATTATGGAGTATTTTCATTATCCATTTTAGCAGTTTTACTGATTCATTGTTGCAGTTCTAGTGTGCTTGCTCTAATCATCTTTAACCCAACATGTCTAGCCTGCGTCACTCTCAAATGTGTCTAAACAGTGACGAATCCCAGCTTAGCATCCTGCTCTCCTGCCGTATGGGTGCTGCTCCAGTTGAGAGGTTAATCATATGTCTTAGGGAGCTTGTGTAACCCTTTATCCCTTGGCAAATTATGTCACACTGGCCCAGGAAGAGTTGGCAGTCAGTCCTGACACAGAACAAGCAGCACGCCAGTTAACAGGGTCATCCAAACAGCCAATTAAGTTCAATCTCAGCCTGGATGCTTAGTGAGCAAGTGATGGGAAAAGGTCAAGAGGTCAGAGCCCAAGTGTGACGAATGAGGCTTCAGGAAGTATGTGTAGTACATGCGTGATTAACCTCCTCCCTGTTTTTCCCAGATGGACAGAAAGATATTGAGGAGGAACTAAACACAGGTCTGGAACTGGTGGATTCGTGTATCCGCTCCCTGCAGGAGTCTGGGATCTTGGATCATCAGGAATATACCACAGCTGATAGTGAGTAGCAATCACAGTTAGGGATGGGTACCGAAACCCGGTATTTAATCGGTCCCGGGGATAAATTATGAAAGACCGGAGTATCGATAAGCTCTGACGTTAACGGTTCTGCTATCGGTACTGGACAAAGTAATAAAACACACATACATTTATTATTGCTATATATACATTATCTTGCAAATTCTATCTCACCAGAGTCGTCAGCTGTTTTTCAAACATTTGTCTATGATGCACTTTTGCTATTCGCAATTCAGAAGCAAGATCGCGCCCACGCGGAAAAGCTTCAGCACGCGCAACATGAAAGCCCTGTTTAATTATGATAGAAGAGAGAACTAAACATTCAAACATCTGCTTACACTTTAGGCCTGTGGCTGTTTTATTAAGCTAATTTTATTTTTTATTTCGATTTTGGCTTCTAAGGATTACACAAAGGAAGACATGAGGTAAAGCTATTAAAAACTAGCTGCGTTTCGTCTTGCACAACTTCTTTCCCTTCACAGCGGTGCACATTCGTTCCTCCCTAAAACCCAAACTTAACGTCAGAATCAGCTCAATCGGTGATTGTTGTAAGATGCCGTCTTTACTGTTGCTAAATTGCGGGACATGTTTGATAATAAAATGTTGAAAGCACAATCCGCACTAGAGACGTTGTTCCTCAGGCTGAAATGTGTGCGCACGGCGCGCTCCAAAACGGACAAACAAATTACACTTTGAGCTTCAGGCGCATGTCCAATCGATCAAATACACACAAAAATATGTCAAAATGGCCGGCTTAGATGACGTCTTTACTGTTGCTAAATTGCGGGACATGTTTGATAATAAAATGTTGAAAGCACAATCCGCACTAGAGACGTTGTTCCTCAGGCTGAAATGTGTGCGCACGGCGCGCTCCAAAACGGACAAACAAATTACACTTTGAGCTTCGGGCGCATGTCCAATCGATCAAATACTCCCCGGGCGCCGCAGCAAAAATGGCTGCCCACTGCTCCGGGTGTGTGTTCACGGTGTGTGTGTGTTCGCTGTGTGTGTGCACTTTGGATGGGTTAAATGCAGAGCACTAATTCCAAGTATGAGTCACCATACTTGGCCTCACATCACGTCACTTTCATTTCATATCATATCAGAATATAAAGCAATGTTAATTCAGCTCTTAATTTGTCATATATATATATATATAAAACAAAAAGTACCGATAAGAATACCGTTAAAGTACCGAATCGATAAGCAGTATCGGTAAGAGTAGTAATACCGTTAAAACCTTAACAATACCCATCCCTAATCACAGTTGCTTATTTAACAGTTTTTTGGAGTGCTTGAGTTTGCTTTATGTTTGAGTGTTGTCCACTAAAGAAACAAAAGCTTAATCCTACCAATTAGCAAAGAGATTTTCACAATTGATTTCAATTTGACAGCCTGGCTGAGAGTCACATTGATGTCTACATTCATTTGAAAGAAGAGCATTTACTGTCAATCAACAGAGCAGCACATATATGAGAGGGTGGGATTTTGAAAAAGGGGGTGTGTCTATACAGTGGATGGGTTTCTAAACGGCTTCTTTGATATTGATGGTGAATATGATAACTGGTGCATCAAGGAATCTAGTGCTAGTTATTGCAATAATGTGAAATTATTTCCAGACAGAGCCTTTCGGCAAAAAAAAAAGGAAATGTTAACTCTCTACACGATTGCAGAACATTTCTAGTCTAAAAATTGGCACATTTGTTCTGTTTGGGAAAAATGTCTTTGTTCTTTCCTCTTACAAGGCGCACAAATATATTTCAAATATGTTGTCAGACATACTGTGTGTGGTTTCTAAATGCTTGAAAATTGTAAGAGGAATAATATTTTTCTGCAAAAATGCATTTCCACATGTTTATTGAGCAATGTAATGAATGAAATGTACTGATGCAAAAACATCTAACATGCAAAATAAGTAATAATATAATATACTGATGTATATATTATACCTGTAAGTACTGAATACATGTGCAGCAACTGTAACCATATCTCCTTGACACATTGAAAATCAGGAAACAGCCTTTTTCACATTTATAACTGTAAAAGGCAACTGTTTGTCTCACTTTGTATATGCATTTTGAACGTAACTGAGAACATCTGTCAAGATTAATGTTACGTACATAGCTTTTATTATGTCAGTTCTGATAATTAAGCTGCCTGTTATGTTGTGCATTGCACCTAAAGCGTTTTATGTAGGGATGGTAATAACTTTTAGTTTTGTCATTTTGTGAATCTACATCTGGCTGCATGCCATGTTAAATTAAGACAGAAGAACTGGAAGTTGTGTGCCAGAACAAGCGGACAGAAGTCTGTTGTTATAAATATACTTACAATTCTGTATGTCGTGGGCAAATAAATCTCCATTATATGCAAATAAAACTTGATAAAGAAATAATTTACCCAAAAATGAAAAGTCTGTCAATCATTTACTCACCCCTCGTGTCTTTCCAAACCTTTATGACTTCATTTATTTTCCAGAACACAGAAGAATGTATAATACAATGGAAATCCAATATTGTTTGGACCCCAGTATTATTCAAAATATATAATAAATGTACTGTAAATGGTGAGTGAATAAATTATGAAAGAAGTTAAATTTTTTGGTGAATCCTTCTGCATGTTTGGCTTTCCCTGACAGTAAAATGTAGCATGTAGCAATTTTCCAGGTTTATTGAAAATTCCACTTCGAAATTCAAGTGAAATAAATAAATAAGTAAATAAATAAATAATAATAATAATAATGAATATTATTTATAATGCAATTTTCCAACCCAAAAGCGCCAACTATACTTTGTTCCCAGGCACCAAAACAAGATGACAGAAATAATAATAATAATAATAAAAATAAAATAAACAAAAGTACACTGTAAAAATGCTGCTGCAATTAGTTATAACAACTTAAAGGGATAGTTCACCCAAAAATGAAAATTTGATGTTTATCTGCTTACACCCAGGGCATCCAAGATGTAGGTGACTTTGTTTCTTCAGTAGAAAACAAACAAAGATTTTTGCAGTCTGTCGGTCTTATAATGGAAGTGAATGGGAATCACAAAAAAACATACACAAACAAAACCAAATTAAACCCTGCAGCTTGTGACGATACATTGATGTGTAAAGACACGAAACGATCGATCTGTGCAAGAAACTGAACAGTATTTACATTTATTTTACCTGTGATTCACCGCAATGTCCCAACTGTCCTGAGCGCGTTCGCGTCTTCTTCTTCAGCCGGTGCGTGACGCGTCGTCTTCTTCTTCTTGCTTTACAGCAGATCGCAGACTTATAAGTGCATTACCGCCACCTATCTCTCAAATGGACCATTGACACTCTATCTACAATCTCAATTAGGAGTGTCAATGGTCCATTTGAGAGATAGTAAATAAATAATTAAATAATAATAATTTTAACCAGACTTTAATTTGAATAAATTAATAAATAATTTTAACAACAGACTTCTGTCCGCTTGTTCTGACACACAACTTCCAGTTCTTCTGTCTTAATTTAACATGGCATGCAGCCAGATGTAGATTCACAAAATGACAAAAATAAAAGTTATTACCATCCCTAAATAAAACGCTTTAGGTGCAATGCACAACATAACAGGCAGCTGAATTATCAGAACTGACATAATAAAAGCTATGTACGTAACATTAATCTTGACAGATGTTCTCAGTTACGTTCAAAATGCAGACACAAAGTGAGACAAACGGTTGCCTTTTACAGTTATAAATGTGAAAAAGGTTGTTTCCTGATTTTCAATGTGTCAAGGAGATATGGTTACAGTTGCTGCACATGTATTCAGTACTTACAGGTATAATATATACGTCAGTATATTATATTATTACTTATTTTGCATGTTAGATGTTTTTGCATCAGTACATTTCATTCATTACATTGCCCAATAAACATGTGGAAATGCATTTTTGCAGAAAAATATTATTCCTCTTACAATTTTCAAGCATTTAGAAACCACACACAGTATGTCTGAAAACATATTTGAAATATATTTGTGCACCTTGTAAGAGGAAAGAACAAAGACATTTTTCCAAACAGAACAACTGTGCCAATTTTTAGACTAGAAATGTTCTGCAATCGTGTAGAGAGTTAACATTCTCTTTATTTTTTATTTTTTGCCGAAAGGCTCTGTCTGGAAATAATTTCACATTATTGCAATAACTAGCACTAGATTCCTTGATGCACCAGTTATCATAAATTTCACAAATTATTACAAAGAAACAGCAAGTAACACATTGAATTAAACGTGACATTTTGAAGTCAAATAAGATTGAAATAGTATGTTTATTTGCAACTTTGAAAGATAATTTTCACATTGCAGGGCTCCAGACTGCGACCAAATGGTTGCATTTTGTGACCATTTTTCTGCCGGGGCGACAAATTTTTGTGAGCGGTCGCACTGGCGCGACCACCGCGTTGTCCAACTCATAAGCGCTGCCATTTCTGTTGCATATGAGAAACAGCAAACGAAACGAAAGCGAAACTAAACAGCGCTACGTTTCAGCTGCGCAGTGTGGACCATTTATCAGCTTGGACCACGACGCAAACAAACTTGTCCGAGCTCAGAACAGCTTTACTCGGGAGCCAAAGTTGATTTCGCAACACTGTTACTGCACAGATGCAACAGTGCTGCGAGATCCAGTGAGAAGCGTTTGAATTCGCCGCACAATGATAAAGTTGCTGCGAGATCTGAGAATCATTCAAATTCTGCACATAATTCTCTGTTATAAACAGCGCTGACATACCTCAGGAAACCAGAAGCGGTAACGCTAACTATAACCATGGTGTTGTGGTAGAAATAGTCGAATGCATTACATCATTCATTTCAGGGTTTGTACAACCTTTTGAGAGAGAAATTCAAGCACTTTTCAATGACTTTCAAGCATTTCACACAAATATTTCCAGCACTTTAAAACTCTAAAATGATCCAGTTTGATTGTTATTTTTAATGGGATGACCAAAATATA